CTAGAGGGGGGGGGGGGGGGGAGTCTGCATTCACGATTAAGCCTACACCCGTCCACTCATTTCAAGCTTGAAGTAGAGTCGTTCTTCCATACGGAATTTCCAACCAGCATAGGAAGTAAGGAGGAATATACATNTTTCAAGACCCTATTTTTCTGGAAATTCCTAGGGAAAAACAACCAAAAAAATAATGAAAAAGAGTAAGAATATTAAGAAAAACTCAAAAGAGTAGCAGGGTATGGGACTTTTACAGCCGGGGGTGGGGGTAGGTATGGGGTATTGGGGGTAGGTGGGGTCATTTGGGGGGGGGGGTAGGAATCAAGGTTCTCCAATACTTTATGAGCTCTTTTCGTTTTCTAATCTTTACAGGTTTTGGATTTATCAATGGTGCTTGGGTCAAAATGACAGAATTATCCTTAGTTGACTAGGAGAATGACTTGGCGTAGGTGTAAATATTTGTATCAGTTGAGGGTAATTTTGGTATTTTGAGATGCTTAACTGACACGTATTTGGTGAAGGTGCATTATAGGAGCTGAGTCAGCTGAACGTCACTGTAGTCTGTATGGGTCTTTTTCTTTGGAAATTTCTAACTAATTAATTACTACAACTAGTAAATTTATACATGTGTCAAATTATATCTTAATTTAATAAATTACTAGTGTCCGGATAAATTTGCGCACCTTACAATTATTTCATCCTATTTTTACTATCTCTAATTCACACAAATACGATTAAATCTGTCTGTCCAAATTTATATAAATAAACAAAAAATTAATTAAGGGAGTTTTGGCAACAATAAAATTATTTTCGTGTAATTTATAGATTATGTGTTCGAGCCGTGAAAGCAGACATTAATAATTATTTTAGAATAGGCTATCTACGTCACATCATTGGAGTGTGACAATTTTTCAGAATTCTGCGTAAATACAAAATACTTTGTGTATTGTGTGTCTCACTTGACAAATGTACGAATCATAAAATTCTCTTCTAAAAGCAGTAAAGTAGGAATCCTCTTATTCACGTGCATATTGCTTTCCAAAATGGGGTTAAATCACTATTCTCCATATCCAACAGCTTATTTTTCCTTTCACGTGTTCCGTACAAAATTTTACGTACTTAATTAGTAACGAAAAAAGTTTTAATTTTATTAATACTTTGAATATTATATTTTTATTTTCTAACTTTACCGAACTTATGACGAGATGGATGTGTTATCGTGGATAGCTGTATGATCACACCTATAATTTTGTGGTGAGAAAGAATGAGATTTCTTAGGCAGATATCTCGGTTTTGAGTCTTGATAATGAAATTTTTTTAAAAGAAAATATTGTTCTTCTTAATTGATTTACGAGGCGTGAATCTGAATTTAATTAGTTCATTGAATAGTGATATGAGATGATTATAAAACAATACACCTACGATTTTTATCTAACCATATATTCGATTGAAATTTCTTTAAAAAAAACATAATAGTGTATGGGTCCAAATTTGGACGACCACGGCCACTGACCAGGGGTGGGATCCTTACGATACAACGTCCTTTGGTCGTTGAGGAAGGCGATGACTGGTAGTGGTTGGAGAACGTACGACATTGGTAGTAATGCAGGTACAGCACGAGGCCGTCAGAATATACTTTGGAATATTCTTTTTTTATTATATCTTTTAGGGTTCAGGAGGGGATTGTCCCTTATAAATAGAAGGAGAAGGCTCTGTAAAAGGGGATCTTTTTTTCTTGGACACTTGACTGAAAAGCAAGAATATTCATTACAATATCTTCCTACATTCAAAGTTATCATATCGATGCTTAATCGTTCAATTTCGTGGTAGTAAGAAACATTATCCATTGCGCTCATCCTTTATATCTTTCAATCTAGATTTCATTATACTTAGCTGAGATTTACCTCTTCATATTCTCTAATTGATTTAATAAAAAAGGTTTCGATAACTTTTGGTCAAACAATTTGGCGCCGTCTGTGGGGATTTCTTTAGCTAAGATTTTAGTTTCATCTAGATCCTTGAAAGGGATAATCACCTCTTCTTAGCCTTGCAAAACCCGACAATGGCAGGAAAGGGGGACACACGATTAAAGGCAACAGTAGGTGTCACGAACAACCTTCTGGATTCCATCAACGAAGCCGGTAGGGAAGATAACGAAAACGCAACACCAAGCGCTACACCTGAGGGAGATACCTCACCCCCCCTCAGATCGGACNNNNCGCACACGCGACGACGACGTGACGAGACGTAGTACGTAGTACGTTACGTTACGTACGTTACGTTACGTACTACGTACGTACGTTACTACGTACTTACTTAGTTACGTTACGTTACGTTACGTTACGTTACGTTACGTTACGTACGTACGTTACGTTACGTTACGTACGTTACGTTACGTTACGTTACGTTTCGTTTACGTTTACGTTACGTTACGGTTACGGTTACGGTTACGTTACGTTACGTTACGTTACGTTACGTTAGTTACGTTAGTTACGTTTGTTACGTCGTAGTACGTAGTACGTACGTAGTAGTACGTAGTAGTACGTACGTAGTAGTACGTACGTACGTACGTACGTACGTACGTACGTACGTACGGTACGGTACGGTACGTAGTACGTAGTAGTAACGTAACGTAACGTAACGTAACGTAGTAGTACGTAGTACGTAGTACGTACGTAGTACCGTACGTACGTAACGTAACGTTAAGGTACGTTAACGTTAACGTTACGTTACGTAACGTACGTAACGTTACGTTACGTTACGTTACGTTAACTAACGTACGTTAGTACGTAAGTTAACGTATAACCGTACGTAACGTACGTAACTACGTACTTACGTTACGTTAACGTTACGTTACGTTAACGTACGTAACGTAACGTACGTAACGTAACGTAACGTAACGTAACGTACGTACGTACGACGTACTACTACGTACGTACGTACTACGTACCGTACGTACGTACCGTACGTACGTACCGTACCGTACCGTACTTACGTTACGTAACGTACGTTAACGTAACGTTAACGTACGTTACGTTACCGTTACCGTAACGTAACGTAACGTAACCGTAACTACGTAACGTAACGTAACGTAACGTAAGTACGTACTACTACTACTACTCTCTCTCTCTCACNNCCCCCCCCCCCCCCAAATAACAAGGATGGATTGACGGATATAGCATTATCTAATTGCAGAAAACAGAGCTTGAAGAATTTATATTTCAGGACTAGAGTGTTGCTGCTTACCTGGCAAGCATCTCCATCCAAGAGCTCACCCTCAGCAATCCGTCGTTCATATTCCACTAGAGGCCCTCCTCTGGTCTCCACTATAATCAAACCAATCAAAATAAAAACCAACAACAGTAAGAACTTATGTTTGAAACATACACGGAAACTACACAAAAAGAACTCATCATAATACCATATACCTCCATTAGTTACTGTAGCAACATCGGCAAACATGGCTCTCGACGACATGTAATATGGTTGGCTGTTTCTAGTAATACCGCCATTGTAGGATAACTTGCATAAACACCCTCTACTTATATCAGTTGAAAAATACTGTCTTCTTACAAGACTACTAAGCACATTATCCTTTCTATACCGCAAAACCGATCTAATTTGCCTCACAGACTGCAGAGCTTTCCTCATGTTGATTCCAAACAGGAAAGACTGCAACTTTATTCCTCCTTATCAACAAGTTCACTATCAAAAACACCAGTTTCTGAAAAACAAGCAAGTAGCAATAAATAATTAGTGGAATATATACACACATCTAACAAGACAAGACAAACAATTCTCACAGCATAAAAGTTTGAACCATTGATAAAAATTTAATCTTTACATCCATACTCACAAGTTGGAAAAAACAAATTCTTTTGACCCTTAATTCAAAATCTAAAATACAGTTGGAAAAGTAAATGAACCAACTAATTATAGCAATCAAGCTAGACAAAGTACAGTAATTGACTTTATTCCAAGAATTTATTAAGGCCAACTATTAACAACTACAACAAGCCTAGCGTAATCCAACAAGTGGAGTCTGGAGAGGCTAATGTGTACGCAGATCTTATCCCTACCTTGAGAAGGTAGAGAGGTTGTTTCCGGTAGACCCTCGGTTCAAGAAACTATTAAGAACTACAACAACAAGCCCAATATAATCCCACAAGTGGGGTCTAGGGAGGGTAATGTGTACACAAACCTTACCACTACCGGGAGAAGGTAGAGGCGGTTTCCGGTAGACACTCAGCTCAAGCGACTATTAAAAACTACAATAACAAGCCTAGCGTAATACCACAAGTGGAGTCTGGGAGGGTAACGTGGATGCAAGCTTCAGAAGTCACAAAGGTTGTTTCCGGTAGACTCTCGGCTCAAGCAACTATTAACAACTCAATTGTCTAAAATTCCATAGAAAAGTTCACTTAACTTGACCATAGCATCTATAGCAATCCCAAAAGATCTAATCTAAGACTAAAATTAATAACTCTGCATTAAACAGTTAAAGGGCAAGAACAAAAATTAAAATTTCAAGAAAAGATTTAATGAATTCACCTTATAAGCTAAGCCAAAACACCCAGAATTGGCAAAGAGCTGAATCTTCNTATGGAATGAATTCAAGTGATTTGGAGCTTTGAAGTCTGAGTAAAAGCTCAAGGAATTAAGCCGGGATCGTGTTCGGGGGTCAACGGATGATAGTTAGAACAAACAAAGAATCGAGTAGGCATATTGCGCACTGTCTAGTAAAATGTACATAACTTTTCGCTCAGAAATCCATTTTGGTTCCACAATATATGGTTGAAAATCTAACTCAAAGGGCTACAACTTTCATGTTTTACGTTTTTCCAAGTTCCAAATGGAACAGGGTGAAAAACACGGTAGAAACCGCGATCGCGGACCTGGTCGCGGACTGAGACAGTGCACTTGTTAATATGCGCGGCCACTAGCGCGGTCACTAGCGCGCCCGCGCTAGTCCAGCTCTGGAAACTTGTCCTTTTTCACATTGGAGAAGGTATAATTGTTTAGGCCCAACCCTACTTGGTATATATACATGGAAAAATGGTATTTTTTGGAGGTTGGACAGATTTGAAACACAGATTCGACCTAAGGAGAGGTAAGAGGCAAGGAGGATAATTCAACATCGAGTGCTTCCTTTCTTCTTTTTGTGTTTTACAATTTATGATGAAATTGAATATTGTTGTGATGAACACTAGTATGAGTAGCTAAATATTTAGTCTAAGATTTTGATGGAACCTATTAAAGGATGAACTTCTTGTTATGTTAATATAGTTTGCCGGTTTAATCTCTATTTGTTCAACTATGTTCTTATTGTAGTTAATTGATAGGATCCTCAATTAGATGTGCCTATTTAGTGTGCATAACTCGGGAGAGAGTGCATATTTTGGTCAATTGTTGAGCAACATCACTCCCAAAGTATATGAGGGATCAATAACCGAGGGTTTAAAGGAGGGATTAGGGATAACGAAGCCTTGGGTGCAATCTAAAGTGAGCTGTAATAAACAAAGCCAGCTAGCGTAACTCGGGAGAGTGCGTCTAGTAAATTGTCGTGATTACTCGGGAGAGATTCGGGGTAATAAGAGTGCTCATGATTGATAGAGACGATTAGGAAATTATATGTGAAACATAACCGGAAGGGATTCCATCAATAGGGGAAATCATAACCTTAGAACCTCCTCTTAATTGTTTATAACTTAATCATAGTTAGTTTTCAGTTGCTTATTTACATTCATTCGCAGTTAGTAGAAACATCCTCAATTGTTATTCAGAAAGTTTGGGAAGTTGATTACGTAGAATTTCGTAAGTCTAACGAGAGTAATTGATAGGTTAATTCCTTGTGGGTTCGAGTCTGGGCTAAATACTCAGATTATATTTGCAACGTTCGCGTGTCCTTTTTATAAGGCATAGTTGGGCGTGATCAAATTTTGGCGCCGTTGCCGGGGAACTAACGGTGTAGTTGTAGGTGTACATATTGCTAGGTTTCAAGTTTGAACTTTTATTTTTATTTTTTGTATTTGATTTTTTTTCGTTTTTTTGTTTTACTTATTAATTTGAGAAACATGGCATCTTGGAATTATGAGAGTTTTGATGTTGGTAATTCTACTTTTGATCCTTCTTATGCGTTTAGTGGAGGAAACCACCCTGGGAAAAATTATCAAAATATTCCCGAGAGCGAGTTATGTGCACCAACTCAATCTTATGTGTGGAATATGTGCGATATGTCAAGATGGTCACTTTCATGGTTGTGCTTGTATTTCTTATCTTCCCCCAACCCCTTACTTTGATGGTTCTTCTTTTTCTTGTGAAGTTAATAGGAACAAAGAACCCAGGTATGAGGACTTGAAAGAGATCGAGGATATGCTAAAGTGCCTTATGGAACAATATAATGAGATACAACTGCGGGTACAAAGGCAAGGGGCAACTATTCACAACTTGGAGGCTCAAGCGAATAAATTAATTGGACCTTGTAAAGCGCAACAAGTTGACATTGTGGATAGTAGCCAATATGAGTATGAATTGGCTGCAGAAATTGCCATTATACTGGAGGATTTAAAAAAATACGAGGATGAGCTAGAGAAGGAGGTTAGAGTAGAACACCAACAATTTATCCAGCTAGAATTTGAGGATGCCGATGTTGAAGAAGTAATACTAGAGTCAACCAGGGACATTGAAGATACAAATTTAGTTGACTCTGGTGTGAATGATGTTGAGGATGTTGAAAGTCTTGAAGTTCATGTGTTTGAGCGCATTGGTCCATACTCCAAGCTTGAGCGCATTGGTCCATACTCCAAGCATTTTTCACATTATGTTTGGATGATGATATGGAAATAGAGTCATCCGAGCCAATTGAAGAGTCAAGGAATGAGGAACAAGGTGCATATATTCTGGAATTCTTCTTGCCAGAAAGTCAGGATTACATACCTCATACAAAGGCCAAAGAGTGCAGAATACTACATTATTTCCTTGGGCCAGTTAGATTCGTTCCACCGCCCCATGACCATAATCATAAGCTTGAATCAAAACTTGGGGTCCAATTCATAAGCTCGAGGTGGAGGCAAAAAGTGATTCACGTCGTGCCGCGATGTTAAATCAAGCGCTTGTTGGGAGGCAACCCAGCTTTATTTTTTTTAATTTATTTTATTTTATTTATTTTTTATTGTATTATTCTTATAGTGTCGATTTTTGATTTTTAGGAGCATGGAACGCAAAGCCATTGGAAGGATGCAACAGCAAACCAAATGGTATGGTTGGAACAAAGTGTGAGGTACCCGCACGAAGGACCAGGCCTGGGAGAAGTCTGAGTACCCCATGAGATGCTAGTGTTTCGGCCTTTGGCCTATCAGGGAGTTTCTTTTACCCTCTTGTATGTATGGGTGTGTATTGGGGACAATGCACAATTTTAAGTGTGGGGTGGGGAGATTATCTGGGTGACTTTCTATGCTATTTTAGTTATGTTAGTTTAATTGAATATTTTTTTTAAATAGAAAAGATTAGACTTTTCCCGACGATGGATCTATTAGACAATTTTCTTGAGGGATTTAAGTCTAAAGAAAAAAAAAGATTTTTTTGTTAGGTAGTGTAGCAATTACCCCTTGGTTTTTCTTTGTGTCGCGGTTCTTTTCCAAGGGTCTTGTTTGAACCGGGTGTAGATAGTTTTTTTTGGGGAGTAGGAGCCATTGTGTTGTGTTTTGAATTGAAGCAATATCTCTTAACTTTCTTATGCCTTGAGAATAGTAAGTACTCTGGCTGTGACGCTTAGGCTTAGTTTTTGACTCTTGTATAAGTACCTTAAATTGTATGATTTTAAATTTGCTTAACTGCTTTGACTAAAGTGTCTTGATGAATCCAATCCTGAATGAGTTATGTGCTATATGTGTGAGTAAGGTTTTGTGTTATTCTGTGCGTGCATTTAATGCCTAGAACTTGCCCCGTATGTTTGTAAAGTGAAATAGTAGTTTTGTTCAATCTTGGAAGTGATATAGGCGTTTCTTTGTTGAGCCAGATATGTATATTTTATCCGCCTAATTGTTACGTATCGTAGTTAACCCCTTTGAGTCTGTAATCCTGTTTCTTTGGCAACCACATTACAAGACTTACCCATTTGTTTGAATTAACCATCTATTTGAACCATTGTAACCTCTCATGAGCACTTGAATTGTTTATGAACTTTGTAAAAGTTTAAGTGTGGGGTGGTTGGTTTGGCTTTTGAGTGGAACTAATGAAATAAGGAGAAAGGTGCACTGTTTTGAACAAGTAAGAGCCACTTGAATTGAAAAAAAAATAGTTGTATTGCTGTAAAAAAAAAAAAGTATTCCTTGATAAGTGGTGACTCTTGATGTAATTGTGTTTAAAGAAGTATGGGGTAATATACATTGATGTGAAGGTGGAGTTTGGTTTGACATAAGTATGGGGTTTGAATGTTAAAGTATATGTATTAAAGTGCTTAGGGAGGTGTAGTCACTCTTATATCTAAATGTATCCTACCCGTCCCGCAGCCTACATTACAACCAAACAAAGTTCTACTTGATCCTAGACTGAATGAGCTCGATTAGTAGAGTAATACACTACGGGCAAGCCTATGGTGCATCTTTTGTGGCATATGAATGTTATTTCTGAGAATGAGTGAATTCTTTCTATCTTGAGTTCCTAAGTGCCCTTAAATTTTATTGTGTGGAACTACTCTCTTTTGTTGTGTGAGGACACTTGATTCATGAAGGAAAGGTAATGTTAGTGATCTCTATGTTAGAGTAAGTGGGTGAGTTGTTAATAATGCGTGGTACTTGTGAGTCAAATCTTGAGGTGAAGATGTTACGCTTTTGTGCTTAGTCTATTTTAAATATTCTTGGCATGATGAGTTAGGAGAATTGTTTAAAAAAAAAAGGTCGTGTCTATATAAAGTTTAGTTTGATTGCTGGAGGACGAGCAATGGTTTAAGTGTGGGGTGTTGATGATAGGCTATAATTGCATATTTTAGTCGCTTATTACACTCAAATTTACTGCACTTTAATTGAGTTTGAGCTTTCATCGCTCGTGTCTTGCACTAATTGTGTGTTTTATGCCTTGTAGGAGTGATTCCTATATGGAATAAATTAAAGTGATTTGGACCTTTGAAGTCTGAGTAAAAGCTCAAGGAATTAAGCCGGGATCGTGTTCGGGGGTCAACGGATGATAGTTAGAACAAACGAAGAATCGAGTAGGCATTTTGCGCACTGTCTAGTAAAATGTACACAACTTTTCGCTCAGAAATCCATTTCGGTTCCACAATATATGGTTGGAAATCTAACTCAAAGGGATACAACTTTCATATTTTACGTTTTTCCAAGTTCCAAACGGAACATGGTGAAAAACACGGTAGAAACCGCGATCGCGGACCTGGTCGCGGACTGAGGCAGTGCACTTGTTAATATGCGCGGCCACTAGCGCGGTCACTAGCGCGCCCGCGCTAGTCCAGGTCAGGAAACTTGTCCTTTTTCACATTGGAGAAGGTATAATTGTTTGGGCCCAACCCTACTTGGTATATATACATGGAAAAATGGTATTTTGCGGAGGTTAGACAGATTTGAGACACAGATTCGATCTAAGGAG